GTCAGCAACCTTCAACAACATGGAAACCAATTGAAAAACATGAATCAAGAGCTGAAAACTCACGTCAAAGATCTTCAACAGCATGGCGATCGAATGGAAAACAAGAATCATGAGTTCATAGTAGAGGTTAGCAGCCTTCAGCAACGCTGCAATCAAGTGGAAAGTAAAAATCAGCAGCTCATATCGAAAGTAAACAGCTTGAAGCAACATGGCAACGAAGCGGAAAAGAATAATCAGAAGCTCACAATGCAGACCGACAACCTTCAGCTACATGGAAATCAATTGAAAAACGTAATTCAAAACCTCAAAGCTCTGGTTAAAGATCTTCAGCAACACGGTAATCAAGTGGAAAACAAGAATCAGGAGCTCATACTGCAGGTTAGTAGTTTTCAGCAACGCTGCAACCAAGTGGAAAGCAAGAATCAGGAGCTTGGTGTGGGTGTAGGTATGGTAGGAAAGAACACTCACACTGAACTACGGATAAACTTAGTATTGTGAATCGAGTAGAACACTGTTCCCTAAATGTGATACGAATGATAGGTTTTTTTAAGTATAAAGAATTTGCTAGATGATTGCCAGTTCTCGATCCTCTCTAGCCAATATTTGGGTTGATTCGAGTATTAGAATATTTATTCATCGATATCAATTTCCTCGGTTAATTGAAATATGAAACTTGAGTTTCTTAGTACGCAAATTATAGGCATTAAATCTTCGAATCACACAATATTTATTGGTTTATTGCTATGTGATCACACACTATAAATGATGTTTGCGAACTTAACTACCCAATACTTGAGAGAGAAGAAATTCCTATTCACACTTTAAAAAAAGAAAGAGTATCCAAAGTAGAAATACAAACAGAACAAATATGGATAGATTTCGATTTTCGAGGGAGTTAGTAGTAGACATTCTTTTATCTTCTGAAAAGGAAATAGTGTCCTAAAAGTTAACATACGATGGAAAAATAATTGTACAAGTGCCAATTCCTTCTGTCTTATCACTAAAAGAGTGTTGAACGCAAATTTGTTCTTACCAATAGGCAGAGTCATTTCCCCTCTTTCAAAATATATATAACTTATTTTTACAATATGCTCATAAAGGAAGAGACTCAATAGAAAAGAGAAGCATCATTAAAAAGAATCTATACTTTTTCATAAAAGGACCAAATAAAATATCAATCCTTATATTCTATCAATAAAAGGCTTCTGACACGGATATTTTTTAACAGTTAGTAGAAAATTTTCTGCTTTTCCGAAAGATATATGATTCATATTTTTCATCTATTGTCAAATAAATCAAGACGAGAAAAGAAAGAAGCAGATGCATAATATATTTGTAATTTTTATACGAATCGTCAAAAAAATCTTGTCAATGATAGTTAATTATAATAAACTGTCGTTTTAGAAAGTGATGTTACCGATTTCATAAAGGTCAAAGTAAGCCCCATTTTACAAGATCTTTTTAATAGGCCCATAAAAAATGAATGAATCATTATCTAACAAGGTGCTCTGGACCGTTTCATGTAAAAACTACGAATTCATTACGCGAGTGTTTTCTCTTTTTTTTTCTTCTGTCATTTCTTTCATCAATGTGTGACAAATGCATATCATTTACTGTTCGAAAGAGGAAAAAATTTTGTATTAATTGATAAAGAATATGCTTTTGATGGCCTATTTATCAAACAGATAAATGATGTCTAATTAGTTTTTATCTTCCTCCAGTAGTATTCCTTTGTCACATGTATTTTTGGTAGAAGAGACTAATATTCACAGCATATACAGTAGACATCTAAATCTATTCTATGTTAGAATTTCAGCTTTTTGCCTTTGATAATCACAGAGATACAAGTAGCTTAGAGTTCGTACTAACACTTTGAAATAATTAATAAATGGAGCATAATAAATGGCCGCGTTGCATTTTATTTTCTCCTCGTCTGACATATTGTTTTGAAAAACAATATATACCAAAAAGATATAACGTCAAAGGCTGTATCATCTATCTAGTGAAGCTAATTCTCATGTATATGCTTGTTGTTCTCAAAACGAGTCTAATTCTGTGCAACCAATTTTCGACGTTCCGAAAGTGATCCCATATATTTTTTTGAAAATAAAAGGTATAGAATTAAAATAAGCTTCACCTTGTAGATTGTAGAGCTTTTCACGCTGTATGTTTTGGAATCTTTTGTCTTTTAATATAACGCATTAGATGATGAGAAAATGAAATACCAAATGCGGTTATTTATTCTGGTTAATCCGTTATTTCAAAAACTTCTATGAATTTTAAGTTACTTGTATATCTATGACCGCAAGAGGTAGAAAGATGGAATTTCAGCGTAGAGTAGATCCAGATGTCTAGTATATAAGTCGTGAATATTAGCCTGCTCTATCAAAAAACTATATAAGACAGGAATATTACTTGAGGCGAATCAAAGCTTACTAGACATCCTTTATAGAAATCAATATTTGTGGACCATTTTTCTAGATCTCACAAAAAGTGACTCTAACTTTTGGTAAAAAAATTTCGTTCAGTACCCTTTTATTGAAGAGCAGTAGGGATCATCATTTCTGTCATTAATTTTGAATCGTGTGCTACTATAAATCGTTTTATAATAATTGCTTTTCAGGCTTCGATACAAAACATTTACAGGATGTGCCAAAAGTTTCTATTCAAAAATGTTTCTTCGGACAGCTTCACTATTGATTGGACTTTATCAGCTGGTTTTCCTGTGTATGATAAATGATATTATCAAGGTTTTATTTCTATAGACAATCGTTGCAAATCTCCTTTAAAGTAATTACCAGTAGCCGAGTTGATGAAATCCAACCCTTTTTTTATTGCACAATAATATTTCGTAGCCATTCTTTGTTAGCTATTTTGATTTTTGATTTCATACCATTCGGGGCAACAAAAAAATGTTGAATATTTCTGTCGTGGCTTCAGATATTTACTTTGAAGAGCACTTTACCAGTTTGTCTATAGAAATGAAAGCTTGACCTGCTCACCTATCATACGAGAATGGTCAGTTGATAAAAGCCAATTCATAACGAAGGTTTTCGGAAAAACTATTTCCATGTATGGACTCGTAGAACATATTGTACAGTTGCCAATTCATTGTTTTAACACAATATTTATCTAGTATTGCTAGGGTTTTGATGAAAAAAAACAGAAAATAGTTGAAAATGTTTAATCCATTTTCGAAAACACGTTAAGATGTTGAAAGTTTCAATTTCTCTGAACGTTTAAGTATCGAAAGCGCGTTAAAAAGTATTTATTTTAAATTGTTTTAACGTGTTTTTGACAACTAGTCAAATATTTTAAACAGTTTACAAAGTAACATGTTAAAATGTTGTTTTGGTCGCTAATGTGTCTGTCTGGGTTGTCGCATACGAAAATATTAAAATACTTATTCAGAAATGTAATCCTTATGAAGAATCCAAGTCGAATAAAAGATGATCATGCTCTGTTTTACTTAAAATAACCCAAATACTCTATGTATTCGTACTGAATATCAAAAATTCAGTTGAAAAGAACTTGTGAAACTCATATATGTTTTCGAAGAAAATAGTGAGTGTAAATATCAGGTCGAAGTTTTCCAGCTTCCACTCTTCCTGCCATTTATTCCGCACTCCATTACAGACCATAACAACCAGGATTAAATACTGGATATATATCATAGTCCTATTTGCCATTTGATTCGATGCTTATAATCATGAAAATGTTAAATTAACGAACCGAAAAATACTCAGCGAATAGCAATAATGAAAACGAAAAATAAGGGTGTCCATCAGAAAAAAACAATGGAAAAATTCATGATTTTGTGTAAGTTGTATTTCGTATTGGTTTAATCAAGTTGAAGAACATATTTGAGTCACATGTTTTAGTTCCAAATGTGTTGCACTAACAAATTTTTTTTAAAGTAGCTATTTGTTCATCTTTAACATCGGATACAAACTAGATAGGTTAGTTGTATGTATGCTATAAGAAAAAGTCACGTTATTTTAAATAATAAAAAATAATGTTAAACCGATGCCTTTGCTAATTTTATGTCATTCTTTTTGAATTCTTAATCAACTGATTTTCTTTCATCTAATTTATTGAAGAGCTCTTCTTCTACTTTGTCTTTCTTACAAGATCCTCATAGTTATATTTTAACTTTCATGAACTATTTGTCAGAATGATGTGACAATGATTTATACATTTTCTTTCTTTCATTAATCCTTCAAGTTGCTTAGCAATAAATTAAAAAGAATATGAACATGGATACTTTCGATGTTATAGAATAAGTGTTTGGTATTTGTATTTATGTCTAATGTCGTTTATCCTTGATCGAGCGTTTCATGTTTTTGTGACAGATATATAAATTAATGATAATTGTTATGTTTTGATTTTAAGAATTTATTTTTATTTGGTCGATTTGGAATAATGGTAAGTCTCCATGAAGCTAAATCTCTATTTGAACAACTTAATACAAACCAAGATGGAAGGTATGAATTAAGTATTTGAATCAAATCACAAATGCATATATACATGTTTAGTATTGGACTACTTGCAACTTGCGGCCAAAATTTTCGTCCTCATCTACACTGTTGGCTTTTTAGTTTGTTTGATCTTTGGCCACGATTAGGAAGCTTCGTTAATATTGATAAAAATGAATTTCATAATTGGATTTCAGATGCTAAAGGATTGAATTCTTCATCATACGAATCAACAACTAGTAAACTCCATCATTATAATAATACGACTAGTCAGTTGGATCGGTATAACTATAAAGTTAGTTCTCAAGACAGTTTGGGATATACGGCTGATAAACATGCTTCATATGGGACTACAGCAGTAGCTAGTGAGTTGATTGATGATACGGCGATTCATACAAGTAGTTTAGAAGAAACAAATCAATATATGGAAAAATCAACTAATAATATTTATGAGGATCTCTATCCAAGAATTATTCAACAAGCAACAACTGAAAATCTAGTAACACTACAACAACAAATTTTTGTTCGATATCTTCAACCACCAGCTGTTCCACCACCAGGAGTAATGAAAAAAAATGTCTAGAAATTCAATCTTACTAATATTTGTATGATTCTAGCCACTCATTATCAAAGAAGTGCGTCCACAACAACCATCACCACCTCCACCACTTGTCATACACGAATATGCGCCACCTCTTCCTTCATCACCTCCACTTACCTTCCGTGAACGGCCACCAACACCACCCCCACATATTCCTAGTGCAACAAGTTAGAAAAGAAAAGAAATTTATATTAGATAAATAAAATTAATCAATCTTTTTTATTTTACAGTTATTCGTACCTTACCTGCTATACCTGTTCCACCACGATCAGTTGTTATCGAACGTTTTCTACCTTCTCGAGAAAAACCACGTACACGAATTATCTTCATTTTTCTTTTTTGCTGTTTTTCTTTTTCTTTTTGATTGTTGTTTTTTCACTATTTAGGCGATATTATAGTTGAACGATGGATTCCCTACGGACCTCCACATGTACGCCGTACAATTGTTGAACACGCTCCTCCTGCGATACAATATCCACAACCGTCTAATACTATAATTATTTATTCTAATGCGAAAATACTTAGAGTCCGAAATTTTGAAAAACTTGATGTTATTCAAGAAGATCCTATCGCTTATGTAGCTCGTTATGGGCTATCGCTTTTAGATCCAGCAACACTTGTTCAACAAGCTCGCAACGCTGGTGTTATTGAAGATATAGTAAACTTTTTTCAAAAATAAAAATATTCTCAGAAAAAAAACCTATATAAATCTTTTATTGTAGTCGTATCCGGTACTATCGTCTTCAATATATGCAACTACAGATGAAAATACTGTTCATTTGGATCAGTCAAATGAAATAATCAATCAAGGTTTTTCATTATCGCGTGGAACTCGTAGCGAAGAAGTTCGATTAGGTGCTAATACCAACGGTATTAATCTTAGTAATACAAGGTCTTCATTTTTAGCATCGATGTTTATTGGTAATAGTGCTTCAACTGGCAGTGCTAATGTCACTCGTAGGGAATTTAATGACGGGGATGCTAGTGTTACCACTACTCATGCCAACCGTGTTGAAAAATTAAATTAAATAGAATTTGAACAATATATTTAATAGATAATTTAACTAAATTTTTTTCTTTTTCGATTTAAAGACTTTTCTTTTATTTTTGTATTTTTTTACCGTGGAGCACATAACCTACAATAAAAGACTCTAAAATAAAAGTAAAATAAAAATTGATTAAAGACTACTGGTACCAGTACTAGCTAAATCTCAGTTTCTTGTAAACTATGTCGATCTTATTTTTAAACGAGCTGTGGGTGTCGATAAGAAGACTCAATACCCACACCGCATCCTATATTTCATTGTCATGCACTTGAACAACGTTTATCAAAGCCAAAGCGTCTACATGATTGGTGTAAAATAATACTTGATAGAGCAATTGTAGAACGTATTGTTATTGATTATAAGGTATGGGTGTGGGTGAGTGTGGGTAGGAATGTGCGCGTGGGTGTAGGCGCGGGCGTGGGCTGATGCAGGTATTGGCGTGGGTACGCGTTTGGTTGTGGCCCTGGATCCAGTCTCCATCCATACCAATCTGTGAAGATATAAGCAAAGGAGACACGCATCGACTTGTAAATTTATGTTACATAAATTCGATATTCATTTCCACCTATCTGAAACCCACGATTAATCATTCGTAGATCGATAGAATAGATGTCAACGAATACGAATCTCTTGTGAAAATGAAAGATATCAATTCAGGTGTGCTTCGCTCTTTTGGTTCGCATCAAAGATTATTGGAATTCTGCAATTGTAATGCATGTTTCGTTCTTGAGGGTGTGGCTGAGACTATAGATGTAATTTATGTTATCATCACAACTAACATCATCACCTAGCCATAGAGTTGATTAATTATGAGGCATCAATGTCATCTAATAAGTCAAACCAACTCAAGTTTATCTGCTTATGAATTTAGTCTATTTAGAAGGCTATGGCACTCTTAAAAGTCTTATACTTCAACGACTTCTGTTGTCTAAAAACTTCTTTGATCATTAGGGAGTTTCAGTTAAATATATAATGTCGGCAAAATCTTGAACATGTTATCAATGCAATGTTTATGCTTGACAAATTTCTTGAATTCCGTAGCAAATGAAAAGTAAAATGGTTGAAGTACTGGAAAAAATTTTTCTACCATAAAACATATTGCTAATTAGATTGACAGTGTCAAAATCAATTTCGAAATGTATACTTAAATGTAGACACTGAATAATATAATCTTAGCACTAATCTGAATAGAATTTCAAAGATAATCAATAAATTTACTTCTAAGTCTAATCACATTCATATTATGTTGATTCATACCTAATCAAGTGACATTTACCATTCTATGTCGAAGAAGCACTAGATTATTGTGTTATTCAACATACATGTAATCTGTGCAAGAGAATTCATGATCCGACAAAACAAATATGAGATTTTGAAAAGGTTACCGCCTCATCATTGATTTTCATTATTATTTCTCTGGAAATGGTCTGTGAAAATGGCACTGTTGGCAATACTTAATAATGATAAAAACTGTTCTTCTTTATCCGGTGCTGTCATTATTGTTTGTTGAACAATAATAATAGTCAAATAGGAAGACGTAATCATCAGGAATCTAAATTGAATATTTCTATGGATATGACTATCAGTGGTTTAACTGATGTTGGTGAACAAAGGAAAATAAAAAATGACGTTGAGATTTCGATGAATGTATATTCATTGAAGTAATAGGTCGATCATAGAATGTAGTGAATCATAAGATTCTTGCCAGTTTTTGTCAGCAAGTAGAACGAATTTACATGTGAGCAAAAGACAAAAGTTACAATTTAACGATTGCTAGTCTACTAGAAAACTTTTCTGCTGATTTGGAGGGCTTCCGATATCAGTCATGCACAGTGTAAGCCAAAATGTTATGAATGCGGAAAAGCTATAGCAATAGAAAGAGAATGTTTTTAACACTTGTATCTAAATGTATAATCTCAAACCAGGGGTGGCCCGAGTCGACCAACATCGGGGGAGGGTGGGAGGGAGTGTCGCGAAATTTTTTGGAGTAAGAGATGGAATTTTTTAATTTTGGGGGGGGGGGGTGTCACATTATTTTTCATGACAAATGGAAGAAAATTTTTTGATTTTGCTGAGCAAAAAATAGTATTTTTTCTAAGATTGGGAGGATGTTCCACCCCCGACATCTCTCTCCCCCAGTCGGACCATCCCTGTCTCAAACAGATTATATTTTTCCAAACAATTTCATAAAGTTTGAAGTAAATATCAATTTTCTATGACGATCACTTATGTTTGTTCGATTAATAAAGATTTACTTCTCTTTCTATGATTCAAACATCATATCAATCAAAAAAATCATAATTATAATCAGAGTGTCTCTAGTCTTTTGATGAAAACAAAAAGAAATATCAAATTCGATTGTAAATATTTTCTATGAACAGTCAGTCTTCAACTAAACAATATCATTACAAAAGTAATCATTTAAAAATTAGATCGAGTAAATAACCAGAAACAACACATATTCAAATACAATCATAGAGTGTATGCCTAGCGTGTACGATCAATAACCATTTTTGTTGAGAATTTATTTATGAGATATAATATTCTAACGTTTACCTCAAAATGAAATCAGTTTCTTTGTAACTGCCTATCTACTATTTTCATTATATTATAAGATTAAAATGAAAATAAAATGAGGCGGTTTCGAAAAATAAAAATAACTTAATAGTGAAAAGGTATATGAAAAATACGCAACACAACAAAATGGTTGACAAAAGTTAATTGTTCGTTGTTTATTGTCAAAATCTCTAAAATTGTCCTTGAAAGAAGACATTTTTCACGTCCATGTTACCAATGGAACTATTCCTAAATTTAGAAAGAAATTTAAACAAAAAATCATTCGACAAAAAAAATGTTTACCTTCGCGAGTTCTTTTTTTAGGTAAATAGTTTTCGTCATGAAGAAAATAAATTGGATATTCAACAATAAAACCTTGGATACTTTTCAATTGTTCTTGTGCCTTAGAAAGAAAACAAGATTACTTCACAAACTCTACCACACCTGGTTTATTATCGACATACTCGTAATGGATCTGTATCTCTCATATATTTTGCGTCACTATACTTTGAACTTTGAGCAAATGTTCGAACTTGATCCGTTGGTATTGTACCAAACACTTTTTCATAAATTTTTGTGTTCTTTCTTGCTACTTGTCGAAAATAGGTGTAAAATTTATCGGATACTGGATCAGTTATATCAATATTATTTGGATTTTCAAATTGAATACCTAACAACATTCTAAAATTCAAAATAATCTTCTACCATAATCATCATTCTTATGTGGGTTTCTATATAGACAAACTCAAAAATCTTTTTGCGCCAACTCGAACAAAATTTTCCTACACGAACTGGTTTTCCATTGAATCGACCATCTACTTCTTCACGATCCTTTATTACAATACAAAATTCACTATCGCGATCTCCTAGTAATGAACGATCATTTATATTTGCACTACCACATATCGCCATGGAATCATCAACAATCATTAATTTCGAATGTACATATACTATTTCGGTGACCTATACCCGAATAAAAAAATTTTCTTAATTGTATGACTAATTAAAATCATTTTTCTTACCAAACAACCCATAAGTACATCGTGATTACGCATGCCAAAAAAATTAATATAATCGCTTGGTGTAATACCTGAAGATCAAAAGTAGAAGAATATCAAATAGTATTGTTTTTTTTCGTGAAATTTATCATTGATTTTAAGATGCTAATATTCATTGGGAGACAAACTATCTTTTCAGAATAGATTTCTCAACAAATTAATAGAGAAATTATCGTCATACAAATATATTTCAGAGAATCTTACTGTGAAACTAAATTTTGATAAAAGATAGAGAAGAAGTGAATTACTGTTTATTTTGGAAAACACTGCTATAATGTGCATTTTTTATTCTATGAAATTTTACTTTTATGAGTAGTTAATGACATATAAAAAATTATACAGTTAGTATTTTCGAAGTTTTTACTCTATTATCGCTTTCATTTACATATCTTTTAAATGAAACAATAGCATTCGAAATTCTCTACGAAATTACGCACGACTAGACTCAAAAATTATTTGAGATATGTTTGAAAAATGAGGATAGACAAAAAGCTGTAAAAAATAACAGGATGGACAGGATAAATAACTACACTTTACATCTAATGTTTTCAATACCTTATTCTATTAAAAACCAATGTATAGTCAAATATGCAGCGTCAAAAATGTTCTATAAATTTGCAAAGAACAAGTTATAAAAACAGGAAACAAGAATAAACGAAGTCATCTTGTACCAAAAAAATATAGCATTTTCACACGGTTCAAATTTGATTGCTTTAAATTCGGACCATTTCGATAAAAAAAAAAGAAATGACTATACAATAAACATTGTAGAGCTCTTATCGGTTTTTTTTCTTGTTGTATTTTGTGTTTCTAATCGAACGAAGTAAATAATGAAAATGTAGAATGCAAAGTACGATCATTCATTACGTCTATCATGTTTTTGTTTGCAGCTTTTCTTCTGTCCTCAGTTCTGAAATATATCTATAACAGCTGTAGATAGGGGTGAGAAGTTATTGTTATCTTGTTGTTATTAATAACAATAACTTTTTTCAGAAAGTTATTTGTTATAAATAACAGGTAAATAACAAATAACTTTTTTTTTTTGAAAACTCAGTGCGAAGTTTCTGTTGATTGTATCACATGAATCAGCACTATAAACGTTAGGGAATCGTTCCAAAGCATAAGCCCATCTAATAGGTACAATTAATATATACAGGGAAGTGAGACAGAATCTTTTTCAGAAAAATAAGTTATTGTTATTAATAACAATAACAATAAATTCTCACCCCTAGCTGTAGAGTCTTGTCATATATTGTTTTCTAGAGAATTTCAAGCGCTATTTGTTTGATTTAAAAACTTTGAAACAAAGTGACAACAGGAATACGGATGTTAAAAATGCTAACCTTATAACGCTGTATACGTCATCTATTAATTAACATACAAATATAAAGAAAAACATTTTCAATCAAAGCTCTCTTTATATTCCACATAAAATAAGAACAAAGAAACGTTGACTTACCTTCTTTTTCAAGTCGACAAAATAATGAATTATCACCTTTAGTAATCGAACTCATAATGTAAAAGAGTACAGCATGTAAAGCATTGAGACTATCAAAACCAGGAAAAAGTGGTATCACAACATAAATACGAAATTTTTCTTTCAATCTAATTAAAAAGAAAAAAAGATTTAATTTCATACGTAAAAGAACAATTCGTACTCATGTGCTTGTTTTATACGCGCAAAAAGAGCTTTAGCCAATTCATTTTTAACCAACCTATTACCAGCAATTGTAATAAAAAATTGATTCTAATTAAATAAAGAATAAGCATAATAATAATAATGAATGACAATTTAATTTTTCTTTTTTCTATAGATAATAATTTACTTCGATATATATATAATGTTTAGCCGCACCAATCATTTGTATATATGCATTTTGAATAGATTTTTCAGTTGATTTTATTCCCGATGACCACAATGAAGTAGAACGTACGCACTTAATATAAAATCATAAATGAACATTTTCTTAAAGAATATTACTTACAAACAAATACTCACTTGAGTATCAACACAAAATGGTTCACTATCGAGAAATTCTCTCCAGTTATCTACAGTTAAACCTTCGATATCACTATATGACTTTGGTAAAAGAAATGGATAGGCATCATTGTTTAAATGTTTTTCGCACTTAAAAAGAAATAAAAACTGACATTAAAAGCGAAATTTTTTTTTCTCATTAAACTTTGTGAATATTCCATCGTTGAATAAAATGTCTTGCAACATCACGAGCTCCTTGACCGAGTATAACCAGAGCTTCATCGTGCCATGGCATACGAGGCACACATCTTCGATTAATATTGTCTATGAATATGATCGACATAAAAATAGATGAAATCAATCAAATTACCTTCACTGGGTTTATCAGGTATTGCAAAACCTTTTTGATAATCATTTGCATAATCTTTTCCAATGAATAATCGATGACGTCTATCATCTTCAGGAATCATAATACTAGATATTGATTGTTGCCTCTCGAAGTTCTTATCACTTTCAGAGTCGTCACTGTCTTGGCTTTCTTGCTAAATTAATCAATATGGAAATTTTACTGTTTTCTACATAAAAAAAGTTTTCATAGTTTATGTAGCATTACTGACAGAGTGAAGATTTTTCAATAGCGTAAAAAAAAAACTAAAATTTTGTTTCAATCATCTCCCTACTGAATGACATGATATGAGAATTTCAACGAACTTAATTATCTTTCAAATCATATATTTTACTGCTCTATCTGAAACTAAAAGCTATAAGATTAGCCGAAACAAAAATTATTTCTTTCAATTGCTTCTAGAAATATACTTGAAGACAGTCTCATCGAATATTTTTGAGAAGAAAGTTTTCTATTAGACAAATTAATTCACAAAGAGACAAAATTAGATGAAACTGTGTGAAAATCCTTCTATAGAAATGGATCAGTTGTAAACGTAAAAAAATTAAATTTTAAGTAAGTTTTTCTAAATTTTGCTTGATTCGAAACTGACATCTAACATTTGAAAAATTGACAGTTTTTAATGAAAAACCAGAAAAGCATTTTTATTTTAACTAAGCTGACTGCAAGTTGTAGAAAATGCAAGTATTTGATGAAAGAAGATTTTTAGAACTGTGCCTCGGATTTTACTATAAGTTGAACTTCAGCCTGACTAGTTGACTTGTTTTTCTTGTTTTATCGATAAATTAACACTGATAATGCACGAGGAAGGGTCGATGATTCATGCTTGATTACAAGTGAGGCTAACTACGGGTAATTAAGCTTTTAAAAAGTCTTTCTCATAATTTATTTCAAAAGCAGCATAGGCGAATGAAAATATATTTATCAAGAAGATACTCATCGGCTTCTCTATTTCAGAACTGAGTTTTTTAGAACATAAATTTTGCTACTTATGATTTGTTTTTTAATATAAATGTTTTTCTATCGCAATTAGTTGTCTGCATTTGATGTTTGATGAAATTTTACGGTAAGAATCAGACAATAGACTTAAATTTAGAAAATAATTTACGAAATCTATAGTCAAAATCACTAGTGTCACATATCCAAAATTTTGGAGATGCCAGTGTCTTCTTCTCCAGAAGGATCTCCATATGGTGTAAGAGATACGATTGTAGTAGCCACGGGGGATATGCATCTCTAACTCCAATAGTGCTTATCCAGTAATACATGACTACTATTTCCGTTGGACATGGTGGATCTCAAAATTTTCGCATATTTGACCCGGTTCTTCTATACGTGGAAATAAAATGACCGAGTAAGAAAACAGTAGCTAGCGACTTTTAAACTTAGATTATTTATTTGATCGTTTACTTGTAAGAACTGCTGCCGTCCAGTAACATGACTATCTTCTTCTTGCAACTTATGTTTCCGAAATGCAAATACAATTCCATCAGATGTTGCCGATTCATCTTCAATATTAAAAAAAAAAAAGTGTTGTCTTTTGTATGAATTAGAAGCATGGCAGATATATTAGGCAAGTTGTGAACCAATAAAAGCAATAGACATTATGTGTGTGTGAACTGCTTGTTTTCGATTAATCATAGAAAAAACCGCAATTTAATCATCATTAGTGATATTAAACGAGCATCATCGATGATCCTATATAGCGTCATACAATATGGTAATAAAAAGAGCAACAACATAATCATCCTCAAAAAATGATTGAAAGATTAGTTTTATAATTGTGTCAGTAAGAAATCGTGCTTGATTCCTCTTCTTATTATTCATTAATGTTGCATACATTAAAAATGTAAAATATGCATTCTTACCACTATCTGATTTACTATCTGATGCATCACCCTCGACTCCTATATCAATGATAATAAATTATAGAATTGTAGTAAATTATATCAAAACAAAAAAGATGACTTCATATTAATAATAGATAAGCGATATCATTTTGAAATTTGTAGTATATCGTTCAATTTACTATAAATAGGATATAAGGTTTAGTCTTACCTGTTGGCGTTAATTTTTTCACTTGATATAAAGAAACAAAAATGAATATGACGTACTTATGCAAAAGAAAATAGATGAATGAAATAATTTACATTTAGTTGTCGATAATTTGCTGGAAGTTTGTATTTCATTGATAGAAAATGAGTCAAGAGATTCAGTGTCTTCACTTGTTTGACTAAGAGCATGTAATGCTGTTCTCATATAATCAGTATTCTACAATAGATTCAAAAATATAGTAGTTACACAAAAATTAAAATAATTTTTCTCTTTCATAATATTTAAACTGGCATGAATCAAACATATGTAATTCAATAGATAGAATATTTTCTGTTCTTTTTTCCTTATTTTCTAATCTATAACTCGATAAGCATCATAAACAGAATACAATATCATGCGATACATGACTTAATATATGAGTTTTCTGATAGAATGAAAAATAAAACACAAATATTCTTCATTATATAACCAATTCAAATTCAAAAATCTTCTCCTATTATATCCGGATTTAAATAACCATTCTTTTTTTTATAGATTTTCTTACCGTCGCAACCACTGCATGAATTCTGTCAGCCATTTGTCTTGTAATTGGTTGTATTGGATTCAATTCAGATGGTAAATACAATTTAGTGATATTTTCATCGCCCAAATCGACAAGACTGAAAATATTTCATAGAATTTCATAATTATCTACTATGGAAATATAAGACTCATTAGACAACAACAAGAACTTCCTTCAATTTATGATAAACAATTCTCAATAATATATCTAACAACGTGTAATAATGCTCATCGAAATCAGTATTATTCGAATTTTGGAATGCAGCGCTCTACAAGGACATACATATATTTAATTTCCTACCGACTATACATTCTTAGAAAGAAGTTTTATGCATTTTAACTAAGTAGTAGTGAAGCCAAGAGGGAGCGCGGACCTTCTCCCTCCAACTCAAAAATTTGATTCCATCACTAAATATAAAGTTTCCTTTTCTTTCTATGAAATAATAGGGTGTAAAATATAAAGTAAGATAATTACTAACCGCATATATTCATCATCCCACCGACCATAGCATAAATCTATGCCGCCAACAAATGCAATCTTTTGATCGATAACAACCATTTTTTCATGATGGGACCACATAATTATTCTGTTTTTATTATGATGGTCAGGATGTCGAAGGACCTTATAAAAGTTGAGTATGTATATCATTCTTTATAAAGCTTTGAAACTCACTTTAATAAACCCATTTTTATTTTTAGACATTAATTTTCTCTTGGTATATAGACTACTTAAGGATAAAACTCGTTTGAGCTCTTTAAAAACCATTACATAAACACGAACTCCTTTAGCCTACAATTTATCCAAAAACAAAAGATTCAATTGACATCAATCATAGAACAAATGAATTTCTTACAGCTATTATTCCTAATAAATTATCCAGACGATATGTTTCGTCTTCTGCTGTTCGTATCATCATAATTTCAGGCGACAACCACCAATCGGTTATAAAAACTTCTTCTTTTGCAGTTAATAGTGCTCTAGCGACAGCTTTCATATATGATTTACCATTGATAAACCTATATTAAATATTCGATATTCATAAAAAATTATCTTGTTAATTTACCAATGAGCCAGTTGATTTGTTCGAATAGGTGCATAGGAATTAAAACGATTTGCATCTCGGTCAATAAAACCATATCCTTGTTCAATAAGCATTTTAAAATTTTGCATCCATTCTTCACATTCATGTGATGTTCGACATTTAACAACTATTTTACATTGTAAATTTTTTATTTTAATTCTATAATAATTATCAATATGATGATGACCACTTGTCACTTTAAATTTACAATCAACTAATATTGGAAAACGTATTTCATATTTATTAGGTTGCATATAAACTACATATGTATCTTTTATAGCAAGCCATCTACATATGAACAAGAGAAATTTTTATTGTAAAGTTATATTTGATGAGACTGTGTACATACCTTTCTTCGTAACGATGTTTACTCAATTTCGTCACCAATGGTTGACCAAGGAGCGTGCGATGACCCCGGTTGTAATCATTGGATTGTTTTAACAGAAAACCTTCTTTTCGACTTATTGATAGGCCATCGATGAATGATAAACAACTTACATTGAAAAATGCACGCTAAAAAGTGAAAGAAACATTCTATGAGATAGAATCTTCTCATAATAACAAAATATTGATATATGTATGTTGAAATTGTGAATAAAATTATGAATTCATACCGTTACTGGATGTGCACGAAATTTGGGATGCATAATAACCTTATTGAGATAAGCAGCAAGATTATTCTATAGAGCAGAAAATGAAATAAGAATAGTAGAAAAAATTCATTTCATTATTTACACAATGTTCATCAAGTATCTTATGAGTAACCGATATTTTTCGAAGACTGCTTCCTGGAAACCATGGATATCTATCATCTTCATTGGAATTTCTATAAGAAAAGGAGGTTAAATATCTGGTGAGTAAAAAAATGTATAAATGGTCAAAACTAAAATTATCAGTAAATAATAGAACGATCGGTTTATTAGATATAAATAAAATTTATTTCACTATGAAAACATTATCTTGATCATCAAATTATAGAATTTTCGTTTGTAGGAGAATAGGTTTTAGCAATATTAAATGCATTAGTGTAAAAGAAAGAAAATTGACAAATAAGAAAGATTTCGAAAGAATATTGAATAGATATCCAAAGAATCAGTGAGAAAAATAGATTAGAAATGAGTGACCTTCCTTTTCCCATTACAAATTCTAGCAATAGAATGCAAAAAAAAAGGGTCAGATATTGAAAAATATATCCGTAAAATAATCGAAGTTAGAAATATAGAAACTCGTGAAAGTTTAAAAAAGATATGAGCTCTATAACTCAGCTCTAAAGTGGCTATGCTATAAAACTTTTCTTCCTTCACCAATCTAAACTATTTTCACTGTCAGTAAAGGTCTGCAACAACGTTTTTCGTTTTCACATCAAGATTATAGAGAGGAAGAAAGAAGCTGAATCCCTTAGTCCCTCCCAGATCTTCCCACCACTGATTTCTAATATTTTGACGTACTGATTATTTCATCTATTTTATTGATCACATAAATCCTAGTCTAAGAAAAATTGCATAGAATTGGCATTGTTGTAACGAAAAAACAAAAGCTGAATTTCATTATAAACGAGACATATTCTTAAAAATAGGTTCCCTCCACATAAACCAAACAAAAATAAATGTTGAATAATGTTGAGTTATCTTGAGAAAGGTATACAATGGAAACGTCTCATGTGGTTTGGAAATTTTCAAATCATATAATAAACTACACTGTTCATTTTCTTCAATAAATAAGAACTAATAAGAGATAATCAAGAGTTTAAAAAATAACCGTTTCCATGTTGCTAAGTGTAATTGAGTAAAACTCTTGATGTGATGAATATTTATGCTAACCATGCAGTATATAAATACAGAAAAAAATATATACGGTGACTGATTCGCTGTATTGACTGTAACGAACTCTATTTATAGAGAGATATATCTCAAAACAAGAGATTACTGATCATATCGCTGCTCAACTCTCGAATAATCACCTATCATGATCAGTATATGCATCTGACTTGTTCACAGGTCACTACATAGTTTACAATATGTTTATTTTTTTTTCTATGGGAGAGAAACAGCATATAGTTTTTTTTCCATTTATTGAATAGACTACGTCATACGTACGGTTGTAAAGTATTTATTGATTTTTCTCGTGTCATTTTAGCGAACTGCATTAATTCATTATGCAAATCATGAAAATTTTCATGACGTTTATAAATCGACCATCGAATAGAACCATGCTCGACTGTTATACAATAACTACAAAAAATGAATCCCATACTTTGGAAAAAATAAATGTTTTTCAGTTAAACCTACATATATGTATCAAGTAATTGTAGAAGATCTCCATGAGACTTTTCAGCCGTAATAGATATGATATGAACAGGAACATTAGGAACAAATGCTCGTCCATTACGATGATGGATATGTTCAAGAGTAAATTTATTATCTAAACAAAAAAAGAGAAAGAATTGAAATCAGTAGACAAAAAAAATCCTTATCGATACAAACTTCTTTGAAATAGTTCATTGATATCTTCATGAAAATTTTCATCAGGAAAAGGTAGCTGTTCCATATTTGCTCGATTCAGATGAGTAGTATTCATGGCTATTTCAGCCAATCTAAATGTATGATCAACCAGAATTTTCCCGCTCGGTAATTTATGACGATGTGCCATATGTAATGTTTTTTTTCTTTATGAATAGTACACTAACTATTAGCTTCGATGTAATCGTATGCAGCGAATATAAACAAATGAGAAAGGAGTAAAGAGAGAAAAATAATGCGCTCATCCAAACAACAAGCTACCGAAAGAAAAAAAAAAGAAACCTATCATATTGAATCAATAACGAGAAAGAAACATGTGTAATAAATATTTAACCTGTCCAAGGTCTTATGTTTATCGAAAATATTTATTATTATATAAACGTTAGAAAAAAAAAACATATCTATAACACGTGCTTGACATTGTCTTTTCATAGTCATATGCAAAGAAAAAGGAAAATTATTAATAAAAATTTCCCGTGTCATTTTGCATTACTACGAGTATGTCTGTGTCTTTGTTTTTTTTTTATAACTTTATTGACACTGATGCGAGTTATAACATTTCGATTGGATATTGTTTTCGTTGTAGCATGGCTGTGACCATATTATATTCGGTTTCGTTCGCTTTCAGAAATAATATTGTGTGATTTTTTGATATAGGCGTTGTTTTTTTGCTTCATGATCAACGAACCAATACATTTATACGATACATATTCTACAGTGATAAATATATTAAAATATGCTTGTATTTATTTCAGCAATAATTAAAAAACGATTTCGCAATAATTTTTAAGCAATAAAAAAACTATTGGAGCAATTTTATATTACTAAAGGTAAAAATAATTAATTCATTAAATATCAATAGTTATTTCATACTTTAGGAATAAAAAAAGAAAAACTACATTCTTGTTAGTCACAATCAAAAATAAAAATGAAAACGTTGTATATTATTGTGTCAATAAAGCTTTTTCCACTTTCGATGGTCTGCGTCGTTTTCTTTTTGTACCGATATCGACATTTTTTGTTTCTGATGGATGTTTACAATATTTTAGCCTGATGGATATACCAATAATGTGCTTGCAAATATAATTTTAACGAATGATAGGCATTTCTTATATGGAAGCAGATATAGGAGATATACATATGTGTATACCGTAGGATTGATATCTCGCATCATTTTCATATAAAATTTACCTTTAATTTAAATAAATTATTGATCATTGAGTATTATTATTATTGCTAAATTAAATTATTGCTCATTTATATTATCGTATTGCTCAATTAAATACAAGTGATTAAAATCTAGTGCAGTCATTAGAGATTTTTCAAAACCTATATATTCAGTTTCTATTCATGTAAACAGATAAAGTGTAATGTTTAATCATATCGTACGATATGATCAAAGAGGCACTTTTATCAGATGTTTTATTGTGAAATTCCACCCGATTTATTGAAGTCATAAAAAATATATTTTAGAGAGTACGGATTTGAGTAGATAAAAGATTCATATCCATCTCAAAAAAGACAAAAGTTGAATGATAATAATTCATAGAAATTATCAATGACAGTTAATTATGATGCTATGAAATCTGTCAGATCTATTCATTTTCAGAAACCATGTCCATGGATTGTCAGTTGAAAACAAGTTAAGTCATTCTTAGAATTCATTTTATTTTACCAGTCATCCATCGACAAGCGAAGTTCCACATTGATTTCCTTTTCTAATTGATAGAAGTTTACTATCAAAGGATCGACTCATCCGATAATGATACTTCACATAAGCAGCTAATATCATACAGAAATCTTACCAGTATCACAACTTTTTGATATTTTTGTAATTATTTTCCGTCGATATTATTTGATTACATCAGCAAAAGCGAGATCTTTTTCTTCAAAAGTGCGTTCAGAGATATTACTTTTCTGTTCTATATCTTTATTCTGCAAGTTCATTCGATTAACAATCTTGTACCATTCACAAATCGATCACAATACGGTGACTTTATTCATGAGACTAAACATCAAAACTAGGATCACTAAGTAGAATACTAAAAAAAGTTGGTAGAAATGCAAAGTTTTTGTTTGATGTATACCATATTTCTCTAATGTTTCAGACACTTACAATTACAGAATAATCATCATCAAACATATTTATGTTAACAATAGAGAAAAACCTAAACTAGATTGTAAAAGATTATTGTACTGAAAAGTGAGTATGGAACATTGATATCTATATAATGGTCTGAGTAGCTTGTAATTACGAATTTTATGTTAAGTTTATAAACTTCATAACAGATGATTTGGAAATTTTCTACTTAAGAATACATTTGGGGTGTGGATGCGTGTGGGTGTAGGTTAAGAGGATAAACAAGACCCACATCCACACACACAGCCGACTAAACCTGGTGCTTTATAATTCTATTTTTAGAGTTTGAATTGAGTATCGATCTGTTCTTCTCTTGCAGTGTCATTCTGCAGAGTGAAAGTAACTTCAAAAGCTTTGTTCCCACTCAACTCACGATTAGTTATGCATGCATATAGTTTCGAAAGACATCCACCGTTGTGAACTGTTAATGGAAGTAACCAAGTGTCGCATGTTGTTTATATTCCTTGCGCCGGCGAACATGCTTATATGAAATGCAAGAGAAAGAGAAAGAAGTGATGACACAGTCATCGCTAAAGTAATATTGTATCGATAGTTATAAATAGAAATAAATATCGAAACCAATATGTCTTTAATGACACTTTATTGAATAGACTCCTGGTGAGAAATGTGATATAACGATTCTGTCTTTGCGTGCTGTGAGGCAAAAAGCTAGGTCGAAATAGAAGTAGTCGTGGTCGAACTTTTCGAGGCAGAAATAATTCTAACAGGAGGATTGCTCATCGGATCAATAGGGACCTTCTTTAATTTTGCTGCAGCTTCTTCATTTTGAAGCTCCGTGGTATTGAACAAGCATCCGGTAGAACCAATAATGATGCAGTTAATACAGATCATATAGGCTACAACGGAAAAAGGTACTTTCGTTGCACTGGATAGACCAATCATAAGAAAGAACATCATTGTTGCAATCAGTACTATGATTGAGCTGACAGCAAGGTGTGCTTAAAACATAAAAGCGAATACGGTGCTGAGTACGCCGAGTATTCCACCACAAATACCGATTTGATTAATAACTCGACTGACTGTATTTCTTTTAATGATCCATCCATAGCATCATGCACTACTTGCATTCGAAGCAATCATCAAAATGTTGCCTGGTGTACAATCAAAGGCAGATACCGGTCCTACGGTAGTTGTATTGTCAAAAATGAAACAAGTCATTGGATCATCAGGACATGGATTACCGTGATAAAGACCTGCACTACCCAGGATGCATCCTTCGAAAAGAACCATCAATGCCACTGTCAAAGTAAAACCGTCAATGAATGTTAGACAACAGTTATTCCTGCACTCCAAACGTCCTTTGACTCTTCGTTTCCAAATTGTAATTAGAAAACGATCTATTGGGTGTGTCGGTTGACTTTCGTCATTATTGTCGTTTTTCGGTGAGTTGTAAGCCAATTTAACGGCGAAGATACGTTCATTGAGAAAGATGTAAATATTAGGAAGGTAACAATAGGATAAAGTAAATATTAGTATGGATAATGTCAATAAGGCAGCTTCAATGCAGACATGGATCGCTACGTAAGCTCCGAAAGCAAGTGCCATGAGTCTCGAATGAGTACGTGACAATGTCAATAGTGATTTCAACGATGAGAATCAACGAGATTTGCAATCAGATATTTATACAATGATTTCTTTCGAGAATGAACCCGTTGCTTTTCATGATGAACGCAATACTTAGTGTTTACACATGAAATCAATGAAAAAATACAATACAGACAGTGAGATGGTAAGTCGAAGCTTACCACAGAGGAAAAAATCCATGAGTAGGAAAAAAAGCAAAAGAGAATGTCTCTAGCTGTTCTGTTGTCAACACTGTAAACATAATACGTACTTGAAGCAATGTGAATGATGGCATCTGAAATTACTTCAACAAACATGCATTTTTCTCTAGACGAAAATTGATTACAATGAAATGAAAACAAAAAGTGCAGTTGATTATTGCCTTTGCGAGTTTCCGTGGTAACATTGGAGAAGTATCAATGCAACACCATACAATATCCAATGGAAAAAAGTAGTGTTAGTAGAAGAGGGAATGCTAATATCACCAAAAGGTTTCGAAATATTCAGGCATTTTAATGAGTAGTACTGTCCTCTTTCAGCGACACCGACGAAATCGATTAGGAGGAATAGGCATGCACCGAGGACCAAATACCCAGTTTTGGTCATCTCGGTATTTGGTCAATCCTGAGTTTGGTCATTCTGGGTTTTGGTCTTCCCGAGTAGACCTAGAGTATGGATATGGGTGTGGGTGTCGGTGTGAGTGTGGGTGTATATCTTCTTTGAAATAAAACATACATCCACCCACAGCCACACCCACGCCCACACCCTATGAACTTTTACCACCAACCAAAAAATCAACTTGTTTGGTCGGGGTGCAGCGGCAAAACTTCGATTTGTTACTCTATACCTATTCATGGTCCACTTTATTTCGAACACGACGACTAAAACAATGGTAATATGATCTGTTTCGCAGATGAAACAAACTTTCACGTTTTTAAAGTTCAATCAATAGTGGAATCCTATAGAAGAAGCCAAAAAATTTATCGATCTAATGATAAAAATGAAATCTATTTAGTTATATTATTCTTTTTCAGCCGGCCATTCTTCCATTTGTTTTACTAATTTTTCGATTTCATTAATAGTAACGACAGTATCGATCGAATATTTTTTTGCTAAAATTCGTTTCTGAAAATCGAGTGCAGCTTTGTAATTTTTCAACGCTAAATCAAATTTTGCCGTGTATCCTTGATAAATGAAGCCAATTCTTTGATAAACCTCAGCTATATAATTCAAACTTCTATTTGATTGTTTATTAAATTCCATTTCTAAACGTTTTTTTCGAAATTCTATCATTTGCTCATAATCGATCTTTGCTAAGTGAACCGATTCAACATCGAATTCAGTGTAATATATTGTTCGATCATCAATTGGTAAGAGTTTCGTTTGTATTTCTAAGCATTTTTCATAGTTTTTAAGTGCTTCTTCATAATTTCTTAACTGATGATAAATACCAGCAATTTTTCCATAAATTGTTGCACTCTGAAGTGTACCATCAGAAAAATCATTTTCAATTAATTTTTCAAGATAATTAATTGCCGAAAGTTGATTACCGTCTTTTTTCGCATAAACTTGGGATATTTCATAATGAATATCGAGTATATTAGAATAATTAATAATCGGTGATTTTAATTCTTCATCGATAATTTGTTGATAATATATAATAGCTTGATCAAAATCTGAATCATAAAAAGCAGCAACTGCAAGTTCTTGTGGGTTTTTCTTTGGTGGTTCTAATAGATCTTTTATGAATTGAATTCGTTCTTCAAGATAATGAATGTCAAAATGATGTGGTGGTAAGATTTTTTTCAAAATATCAAGTTTTATATTTGAATATTTTATCATTAAATCATAATGTTTCATCGCTTCACATATAACGGTAATATTCGAATAAGATTTAATAATCAACGGATGATACCATGGTAATATATCCTTTCGAATAGTCAAAGCTTTCTTATAGCTTTCCAATGATACATCCAGTTTCTCCATCGAAAAAAGTATATCACCAACCTCATCATAGAGGTAGGCTAACTCTTTTGGATCAAGTGTCTAAAAGAAGAAACAAAGTGGTTAACTATCTAGAGTACTCATAAGTGATTTATCAAAAAAGTATAGATGACGAGCACTTATTCAGTTTTTAATATATTTAATTTTTTCACAAATCTCTGAAACTCAGGATTTTGAAAATGAAATGGTTTGATATTCGATTAATTTAATCATTCGAATCAGAGATAAACATACCCGAGCATACTTTGTTTCCACTGTAAGCGATTTTCAATATAGGCAAGCTTTTACAAGAGATTCTTCTTTACTTCAATGGATTAAGATTAGTTTTAATGCGATATCTCTGGCGAAACGTAATCTGCTTTGGGGGAACGACATTTCCACCGAAACGAATATGATTTATATACCTATCATTACCGTCCCTAACAACACGCGTCGATGTTTTTCTTGTTGAGATTAAAAAGTTTTTTCTTTAACATCTCATACAACTAAATCAATCGAAATAGGGTTCACATTGGCAATAATAGATCTGATTCAATTTTGTTCTAAAAATACCCTATCTCAATAGTTCAACTTCAACTCTAATTGAAAAAAGCTCAAGTCCTAACTGAAGTTACACATATCTGAGCTGAGAATGAGCTATTTTGTTATTAACAGCTCCAAAGACAAAATTTCAAATTCTCCAGTCATTTTGAACGAACGAAACTGGAAAGATAGCTCCTATCATGGGTAATTAAATGAAGTTTAATTTTGTACAAGTTTGGTAGTATTTGCTACGATGTCTGAGATGCATTTCAACTTGGTAGAACTGTCGTTAATTTTCTTTTGCTATAATCATTTTGGAAGGAGTCATCAAGCTGTGATCAGTTTCTGCTCGTTCCCTGTTTACCAGTTGGATCAAACTATTGATTCCATTGACTGAATAATTAATATATAGTTTTTGTTGCTGACTTTAGTGGCATTAACCTAACCCTAATGACGTATAAAAACTAATTTATTTTCGATTATAAAATTCGTTCCATGATAAAGCGTAGTGAAATTAAAATCGGAGCCGTTTCTCGGCGTTTTGCGTTAATTTTGACGAAAAACTTGGCTTTTCTATCGGCGTATTCAGAAAACAAGTGTTTCTTATAAGGGAACCTATCAAGATGCTCCATCAATTTTGAGCAGAAGTAAGGAATTACGAGATTAGAATAATTCTAAGAGAATTTGTCTCCATGCACTTGCGAGGCTGAGTTATAGTCGTTTTACTGGATTTTCCCTTGTTATGGCAAAGGTTTACATGCAAATTCAAATCAATGAATTCCGATCGGAAACTTCGTCCGTGAAGAGATTTAGGGACCACTAGAATACCCTGAATGCTTCAGACAAAGCGAATGTATCCTTCTTAAAATATCGAGTTTTCAATAGATTCCTGTTTTGGTAACTGTTTTAGGCTAGGCAGTTTATGAAAATTCAATGTTTTAAGAAGGATACATTCACTTTGTCAGAAACTTCTTGGGTATTCTAGGCGGCTTTTAGCTCTCTTCATGGACAAAATGTTCGGTCGAAGTTTGTTGCTTTGATTTTGCATGTAAACCAGTGCCAGAGGGAAAATCCAGTAAAACGATTATAACTCACAAGGGAATATATCCAATTATCGGACGCCGTTCGAGCCCATATTTTGGCTACGAGTAGGACTCAGTGAGACTAAGAAAACCCTTAATTGATTCGAGTTCATAGCATGTTCCTGGCGAGGTAGTAAATTTTTAGTAAATTTTCTCTATAGCATCCCAATTTTGCAGCAAAGCTATACTTTCAAATTTCGACTTGAAACTTAGCCCACATAAAGGCCTCAACTAGACTAACTTGCATAAAAAACTTCCGAAGTTTTGAACAAAGTCTTTTCGAGAGACCAAGTTTTCAAAAAATGCATGCTATATATATTATCTATGAAAAAGGGTCTGTGTCTTGATAGCTCAATATCTCGAAAAGACTTTGTTCAAAACTTCGGAAATTTTTTATGCAAGCTAGTCTAGCTGAGGTCTTTATGTGGGCTAAGTTTTAAGTCAAAATTCGAAAGTATAGCTTTGCGGCAAAACTGGGATGCTATAGAGAAAATTCACTAAAAATTTTGATATCTCGCCAAGAACACGCCATGGACCTGAATCCTTTTAGGATTTTCTTGGTCTCACTGAGTTCTACTCGTAGCCAAAATATGGGCTCTAATGACGTCCGACAATTGGATATGTTTCCTGGTCAGCGCCACAAGTGCATGGAGACAAATCCTCTTCAAATTATTCTATACTCGTGGTTCTTCACTTATGCTCAAAAGTGATGTGGGGCATCTCGATAGATTCTCTCATTAATTCTGATGCTAGATATCCTACTGCCTTATTTTGGTGTTCCTATTTCTTTAAAATTTTGCAATACTATGGTATAGACTAAGTCATCATGCTTCATTCGTAGTAAATCGGCGATTTTACTCATATCTTATTGGATTGTTTATTCACCTGCTCCTTTAACTTCTTTTGTTTTAATGCCAGTCTGTGATCAAGATTTTTCATGACTGTGTAAGTACTTGTAATAGTTGATTCAACTTCAGTAATTAATTCGTTATCGTCTGGTAATAATTTTCGTCGTATATCTAAACATTTTTCATTATATTCAAGTGCTTTCTCATACTTTTTCAAATAAGTTGAATAAAACTGTCCGATGTTTAGATAAATGTTTGCACGTTTTAATGGAGTACAATCGTTAATTTTGGATTGTAAATCTTGAATGATTTTCTCGAGATAATCAACTCCTACATCGGCATTTTCAACTTTGTAAGCATGTTGCTTAGCAATCTCAAAATGAATATTGATAATATGAGCATAATTGATATTTGATGATGAGTTCATATATTTGTCTATAGATTTTTGATAAAAGGCAATTGCTTCATCATAACCCTCGCCTAAAAATAGCATTACATCCGGATCTTCATCATCATCATTTTGTAATGAAAAAATTTCATGGAGGTGACGATATTTGGTTTCGCTTTCAAAACCCACATACATATCACGTAAAAAATCAGCAAATGAATTAAGATCAACATTTTCATGAATTCTATTCTTCAAATCATCATAAACATCTTTCATGACATTTGAATCATCATCACCACATAAAATCAATTTCATTATCCATACGTTTTCATTAACATCACGTACAACTTCTTTAACTTTAAATAAACAACCTAAACTAAACAAAATTTCTTCTTCTTCTTTAAAATCACTTAAATATGATATATCAGCAAATGGTTTGATCAGTCGTAATTTTGTATCCACTTCGATTTCTAACATGAGAACTTCTAATATATCGGATGGCGGTGTTTGCTTAGCAAATTCTAAAGCTTTAACACGATTTTTCGATGTTGATAAAAATGATTTCATAACTACGTATGATAATTCACTTGATCTGATTGAATTAAATTCCTGTTTACCAAGAAGTTGTCCTCGATAAACAGTAATTTTTGGTTCATCAAACGATTTTTCTAAAGCTAATTGTTGACTTATATCTCGTATGATCGAACGAAAATAAACTATCATATCGATATCGGTTTCTCGAAGACATTTGTTGAGCCAACGATAGAGAAACGATTCTCGTGTATACCAATATAATGATTTGGCTGCACAATAAGTCGATGAAAAATCATCAATCATTGCTATTTCCTTTTCATTGCCATCATATTGCTGTGTAGCAATTTGAATAAGTTCTGGTATTGATGGTCCTTCAGTCAGTCGCATTATGTTCTCGATTAAAAGTCGAAACCATATAAAACTTGCATTTGATTCCTGTTGCTGAGAAGTAGCTGGATTGAATATACTACATTTCATTTCAGCTTCATCTATTTCTCGTCGGTGAATATGATCATCAGAGATATATTTAATCAAATCTTTCATCGTTACAACAACCGAGGCAATCTTAAATCGAAAGAAAAATACATAGTTCATTAATAAATCTGCATTATACTCAATGATTCATCAGTTTTACATTAACGATTCTAATTACCTTTGGAAAATTTTTTGCCCATATTTCGTGATATGCATTGTTTGTACAATAAACATATATTGTGTGTATTTGTTTGAGATCATGAATATGGGGTACAAGTTGTTCACCCATCTTACCAGAAACAATCAAAACAATTTTATTATCCGGATTTTGTTTAATATATTCCTCGCTTATATCGATATTGTCAAAGACTTTGAGATAATTGATTGTACTACGTAAGGTTGATTGTGTGTGTTGATTTTCTTTTGTTCGATCGACATCTGCATCACACCAAATCAATGAAAATGTTTCCAAGTTACGATGGGGCTCAATAAGACGATTTCGTGCGGTTTCAGTCATAATTTAAGAATTGTACTATAAAATGTTGAAAAATCAATAGTTTAATGAAGATGAAAGTGAAACAATAGTTAAGATACTTCATTTCAATCGAACATGGGAAATGATATAGAAAGATGCAGAATACAACAATTCTGATTCAACCACTGTGCAGTCTTTTCAAAATGAGCATTCCATGGACTGTTCTCAAGTATTTTCAATGGCAACTTGTTCGTATTCAGAAGATTTTACTATTATTTGTGCGTAAGCTTATATCATAGTTACTAAACCAAATCAAAACATTTTTCTTTAAAATATAAAAACTTGACTTTCAGCTCGTGCGCAGTCTTTTCTCAGTCTGCCATCTTTGTCAGACACTCATATAATATTCTATCCTTTTTCGTTTATATTATAAGAAAAAGAAAGCCGTTGAGGTTGTGCTTCGAACCTAATGCTCCTGCTGGAGAGATTTTTCTAGAAAATAGGACAAAAATACGATTGGCATCAACAAGCTGTTGATATGATAGCTAGAAACATTTTCGCATTACTTCTTCTCTAAAAAGCTCATTTATTTGAATTGAAATTTTGACGACAAGTATAAAATAGACTTGCTGAAATAGTAGAACGAGTCATTTGTATGGTTGATAGCGGCTGCGTGGAGATTGATCTCAGAACTAACAAACCTATAGACAACATGCTAATACATCGGCCAGCACTACTCCACAAATCCATGGGACTCATGTTCTGAAAGGGTAGTTTGAGCAAAGTGTTTCGAGCAAAAATAGTTTTGTCATACCTAGTTGTGTCCTATGTGTTCCCACTTCAATTCAGAAATAGAATAGTTAAATTTTGATATGAAGTAGTTTGAATATTTGACATTCGTCTGTATGATTTAGCTTAATATTACGATGCGGTATCCAGAGTGAAAATTTGCATCAAACAATAGATAGACTACTTTGAATCTATCTTAGATATTGTCACCATAACCTGTGTATTGGTTGTACTTGCACTGAAGAAAAAGGTTTTCTATGATATCTCTTATTACACAGCACACCTTTTCATTTTATTATTTCTGTTGTTTGTTCTACATGCTTTCTCTTTCCTCCATTATTTCTCCTACTATGCTTGTTTTTGTTTATGTGTAAACATAGCGCATATTTTTTGATAGTACTAGTTAATGATCCAATGTCGTACCTGCATGTGCATCCGTCTTTGTTGTATTTCAAAAAAAGTTCTTGATACACCAAGAGAAATCTAATTTGACATTATATAATGGAATAGAGAAAAGGAATAGCGAAGTATCGAACCCCTTAACTTGTAAGAATTTTTCTCTTTTATTTCTCATATAATTATGCTTAATCAGATATTCGCATTTAAGCCTCTATTTTTGTCAGATAAGCAGTCAAAGTGAAATATAATCCAGCTGAGTTACCTGTACGGTTACTTCGAAGAGAACAAACGAGTATAAAATAATACATAGTTTACTGTCAGTAGCACATTTATTTTATAGCCATGTTACTCTTTTTGTTTCTGTTAACGCATGAGGTATTTTTTGTTTTGGCCATATCTATTCATTTTTTTCTTCTATATTTGTATTCATATCAACCGGTCGACGATTTTTTTGGCGTGCGAAGTTGATAAAAATTACACCATTCGAAAGAGCATAAAAAACTGAGTATATGGTGAAATTTTCACAGATGCGTATGCTCGAGTCCCCAACAAAAATTTAAAAAAAAAAAAGATTCTTCAGCAAGAACCACGACAATGTCTTTTTCTTTCTCTCTCTTCTTTTTGTTTTTTGAGTGCGCATACGTACATGTATATAGCTGTTCACATAGAACGTATGCAATATATGAAGGAGAGAGAAAAAAAAGAATTGAGTTTGACTCTAATGTTGAAATGATGATTAATTTACAAAAAACGATTTGAAGAATTATTTGAAAAAATCAATAACCATTTGAAAGTTAAACGATTGGTATTAACATTTAAATCATTTAACAACTTATGAAACATCTCTTGTTGTTTTATCTTCTTTGTTCATACCAATCCTTCTTTTTATTCAAATAAAACTTGATCTACAAAAATCATTTTTTATTGACTTGATAAAAATTAAATTTCTTTCTTTAAGAAATTTTATTATTTTTTATGTTCATCATCAAATAGAACTTTTGAATCTGATTTTGTTTTACTATGTTTTTTCTTTTCATTCAACATTATAAAATTTCCCGATTTAGTTTGTAATGTAGGTGTGAGTGTGAATGCGTATCTTCTTTGAAAACAAAATATACACACCTACCCACATCTACTCTACCCCATCCACACCTACACCCACACCCGTCTAAATAAAAGAACTTATTCGTCAACGAAACAGGGAGAGTACAAAAAACCTATTCAAAAGTTCACTTACGGGAATCTTTCATCGTCACACTAGTGACACGTGAAAGAGACCGAATATCAAGTCATTTAATTACTTTCTTGCCAAAATTTAATTCGCGGTAATAGCAGCTCTAACTCACCCTCAAGGAGAGAAGTTGGCAAAAGGAAGAAAAGGAACTGATAATAATAATAATAATAATGCAACTAACGACAAAGTGAAAAATATTAATTTTTGATAAATAAAACATTGAGCGCAGGCAATATAAGAAAGAAATTATAAAGAAAAAGAAATAACAACACATACAGCAAGCATCATGATTACGTCGGTGACAGTTGTACTGTCACATCCTATTGATACAGTTTCAACTTGCTGATATGCTAGTTCCTTAGTTTGGAAACCAATAGGCCGAATCAGAATACTCCGTAGTGTTTCGTCAGCTTATCCAATTTCGTGATTGGGTCAAAAAGCAGGTCCGTAAGTCCATCGTGAAAGTTAGTAGCGAGCTTGCAGGCCTTTTTATATATTACATCATTTTCCGCTGTGTCTTCTGCCAGGTTTTCAAGGTTTGTTCGATTTTCCTCGTCTGCAAGCATCCCCAGAAATTCATTGTACGAACTCATAATCTTATGAGCCGCTCGGTCTAGATGATCGTAGCGAAGAAGCACATCAGCCACGATTTCTAATGGTGACTTCTGAAAAACGCTTCTCATGTGCTCCTTGACGTTTTCCTCGCAATACGGGTCGCGAAAAAGCTGCTTGCGCTGGTCTTCTGTGAATTCAATCTCAAAGCAGAAACACGCAAGCAAACCAGACATAACGATCAATTTTCGCGACATCTGCAGTTTGATGTAGCGAATCGCGGAGCCCTTTCCTAAGCGTTGCCTACACTTATATTCGTAATCAACTGCCATGGTTCGCCAGTATCGAAGAAAGTCGTTAATGAGAAATCTTGGCACACGATATTCCGAGTTTCCCCATAAGTGTGAATCTTCATGGAGATAACGATACAGAATATTACTCCTTACATTATTGTAGGCTTTAGTACTGCCTACTACTTGAGATTCGAGTAATAGAGTCATCCGGCGAGTCATGTTGCAATTTGTATCTTGTTCACCACCGATTTTTTCGAGAAGATCATGACTGAATACCATTGCATTGAAGATACCCTCTCGGCCCACTGGCTTCGAGGCAATTTTGTTCATCTCTTCCTGAATTTTCTGAAAGGAAGCATGATGCATAGAAGAAGTCGAGCCATCAACTAGTAGATACCAATCAATATCACTGCCTATTGTAAAGTCACCGCGAGCGAGAGAACCTAATATGACAATACTCCTGTCATCCGAATAATGTTCCCTCAGGACTTGTGCAAGCTTCCTCTGCGTGATTATAGCAAGATTGCGCGACACTCGAAGATGTACCCACTGAACGCCAAGTTTTTGTTCAAGCTTGTCAATGCTAGAGGTGACATTTCCGTCGATTTGCTGTTGTGGCCAATGAGTCGTCTCTTGTTCCTAAAATGGAAATAGTTTAAGTTTGTTTTTCATTTAAGTATTACGATAAGAATGTATTTTGTAAATCGATTGTCCTTAATAAATTTTAAATCGACTACGCACCAGTCGCAAATCAATAGTGCTGTGTATCTCGAAAATTGACGATGAGCTCTCATTTCCTAAGAGAGATGAGAGGTCATCTTTAATTTC